ACTCCAACAAGGCCACCCCTCCCAGTAGTGCCATTCCCTATGGGCCTATGGGGGCCATTTTTATTCAAACCATCCAAATAAATAAATAAATGTGATTTAAAGTATATAGCAAGTATAGAGTTCATGACAAATATAGACCCATTACCTTTGGGAAGGGATAATATATAGTAAGGTTACCAGGTCTTGCTGAGTAGTTCTCAATATGTTTGTGTTGTTTGATTTATTTTGTTGTTATTGAATGAGAGTCTCCTGTAGTCCTGGTTGGTCTTGAATTTAATATGTGTGTGTTGAAGATGACTTTGGATTCCTGATCCTCCTGTCTTCATCTCCCTAGTGCTGGGATGACAGACATGTGTCACCATGCCCAGGTGAAACTTTATACACTTAAAAAGAAATTTATACATATGGTGTTTTGCCAAAAAACTTTTTACATGTCTGGGTGTTGGCCTGCATATACGTCTATGTACAATATGCATGTAATGCCCAAGGAGGCCAGAGAGAGAGTTAGATCCCCTGGGACTGGAATTACAGATGGTGTGTGAGCTGCCATGTAAGTGCTGGGAACTGAACTTGAGTTTTCTGTGTTTATAATAAAAACGTAATACAAATAAGCAAAGTCTATGGGTATGTAAGACATTTACACCACTTAAGACATAAATTTTGCTTAGCTTACAAAACTAAGATTTAGACTGGGAAGTCTGATGGTCTTTGAATTTATAGACTGCCTCTCTGAGATTGAGGGAAAATTCTTATCTTTATAATCCCACTACATAAGATCATGCTTAGTGGGTGCTAAGAACTGAGCCAACGAACAGTGAAGAAGGCCTTCCAGCTGTGGAGTCTGACACCCGAGAGTTGCCTGCGGTCTTTAAGGTCATACTGTAGGGAGCATAAGGATGAGCTCCCATGCTCTGTGTTGAACAGACTGAAAACTCGGATCCTAAAGATGGAGAGGGAGCACTCCCGCCTCCCTGCACTGTGGAGGTAGGCTGTCAGCCCACAACTGCTGCTGCGGAGTTTAAAGAGAACCGAACATGTGGGAGCCGGCTGCTGTGAGATGAGCCTAAAAATATACACCTGTACAATATGAGGGGCAGCAAGCCGAGGTCAGAAGGGACACGCGCAGCATGCTCCCAAATAAAAGTGGCAGACTGGCCTCTCGGTGGGTCCCATCCAACCCACAGCCTCAGCAGTCCAGGCACAGAGCCGCAGCCAGCCTAGGGTAAACCATCTCTCACATGCTTCTGTGATAACCCACAAGAAAAAGTTTCCCTGGCAACCAAAGACATCCAACACCATCATTCCGCTCCTAAAATAGTACCAGTCACATCTTCACAGTAATGTCTTCTCATTCATGCCGCACCTCTCACCCACCAGGCAGCTTCCAGGGGCAGACGTATCAACAACTCAAGATCATCCCTGGCTACATACTGACTTTGAGGTCAGCCGGGTCTACATAAGACCCTATTCAAAAAAGCAGACAACAAAGACAAACAGGACTATACATAATATATGTTCCTGAATTCGGCGATTTTATATACTTTGCATTATTAATATAATTGAAGAAATTTGAGTATGAATCCTACTACAGTAATATTTCATCAATATTAAATTTCCTAAATTTGATCATTTTACAGTGCTTAGCTGCAAATATTTCAGTTCTTAGGGGATGGATATGGAAGTATCAGGAGGGAAGTAGTCAGACTTGTAGTCTAAGGTCAGACATAGAGACAAAATAACAGGGGCTGCCCCTCATACCACCCCAGTACATACAACTGAGTTCACAGCAGAAAACAGTGCCTCCTATATCCTTTCTTTTATTCATTGATTTGCTTTTTTTTTAATTGTTATTTGTGTGTGGGTGTACACATGCCACAATATGTACATGGAAGTCAGGGGACAGCTTGCAGAAGTTGGTTCCCTTCTCCCACTATGCAGGTTCCTAGAGTTAAATTCAGGGTGTCAAGCTGGGCAGCAAGTGCCACTGAGCCATTTCACCAGCTGGGTGGTTTGAACAAGAATATCTTAGAGCACTTGTTCCCTAGTTGGTGGAACTGTGTTGGGAAGAATTAGGAGGCGTGGCCTTGTTGGAGGAGGTGTGTCACTGGGGGCAGGCTTTGCAGTTTCAAAAGCCCCCTTCCACTCCTAGTTAGCTTTCTCTGCCTCTTACTTGTGGATCAAGATGTGAGCTCTCAGCTATTCCTGCTGCCATTCTTTTGCTCCTTTATCATGGACTCTCAACCTCTAGAACTGTGATTTCAATTAGACACTTTCTTTTATAAGCTGTCTTGGGTATTATGTCTCTTCACAGTGACAGAAAAGAAACACATACAGAAGTTGGTACCAGGAATGGGGCATTGTTATGACATGCTTAACCATGCTGGGTTTTTTATTCTAGAGGAATGTCGAAGACTTTGGAATATTATACTAGGAAAGCAGTTGAATGCTATAATCAGAGATTAATAGATCATTCTAGTAGGAATATGGAAGGCAATGCTGAGAGATGTGTAGAAGGTGGAGGCAATGCTGAGAGATGTGTAGAAGGTGGAGGCAATGCTGAGAGATGTGTAGAAGGTGGAGGCAATGCTGAGAGATGTGTAGAAGGTGGAGGCACAGCTCAAGAGGTGTCAGAGGGGAACAATATTGGCAACCAGGCTAGGGACCATTATTGTGATACTTAGGCAAAACATGTGGCTGCTTTCTACTCAAGTCCTAAGAATTTGCTTGAGGCAAAATTGAAAAGTAATGGACTAATTTATTTGGTGAAGAAGATTTCGAAACAGTCTAATATTGGCTCTACTGCATGGTTATTAGTAACCACATTTATCTAGGTCTACAATTAAAAAGGGCAAGTAGGGCAAAAAGAGGACTGGAAAAATTTATGTTAGAGCTAAGGTGTGTGCTTAAAAGAAATAAGGAGATCAGGTTGGAGAGATGGTTAAGAGCACTGGCTGCTCTTCTAGAGGTCCTGAGTTCAACTCCCAGCAACCACATAGTGGCTAACAGCCACCTATAATGAGATCTGGCATGCAGGCATACATGGAGGTAATGTTGTATACATAATAAATAATAAATAAATCTTAAAAAAAAAAAAAAGAAAGGAGAGCAAGATGAGGCCTGGCCTGCATTGTTATAAAGGGAGAAGTGCCCTCAGGGAAAGACTCCACTCAGATAGTCCAACAATCTGAAAAAGCAAAAAGCCTAAGAAATGTTATACTCCTGAAGAGCAGTAACTTAGAAAAGCTTCTGCAGGTATGACACAAGGGGGCCAGGCTCCAATCCCAAATGGGAGGCCAAATTTGGTGGTATTTTCCACATGGTTTTAGTGTCATGAAAAATACAAAAGTAAAGGGGTTGTGGAATTTTCTTTTCTTTTTTTTGTTTTGTGTACACATTGGTTTTATTGTAACAAAGCAACTTGTACACTTCAACATTTAAAATGAGCATCTTTTCCTTCCAGTGAAAACCAAAAAAACTAAAATAAAAAAAATAAAAATAAAGTTACAACAGAGAATGTGAACTCCAAATAAACCCCTACAGGTTCTGCTGATTCTCCCATTGAGTGATAGGGCTCGAGTCATCGTTAGGAGAGAATTTTATTTTAAAAGTGTCATCTTAAACTGCAAGGATGTCTGTTAAACATCACAATTAAACATGCCAAAGGAGAAGCCATGTTGTCACAATGCCCACTTACCCCCCCAGACACCTCAAACCCACCCTTGCTGACCTTCTATACCCCCCCTTTTTTTCTTTTATTAAACAAGAGAAAGTAGACAGATACATGTTGGTAAATGCTAACTGTCTGTATTCACATAGACACAGTGTAATCTCTGAGCCCAATATACAGAGAAAGGAAAAAAGCTAGAATTCTATGCACTACTACACAGGGGCCTAGCACCCCCCAGCCTCCAGCAGAGCCAAAGGGGCTGGAGGGCTTTTCTTTTTTCCCACAGAGCACGGTGGTGGTGGTGGTGTTGAATCCACAGTTCGAGACAAGAAAAGATAAAAATGAATGTAGAACAGAGTAGTGGAGATTCTTTTCATTGTATTTTGCTCAAGACATTCCCAAAATAAGTTGAGAACCATGGTGTTGAGAAGCGAGAACTCAAAAACAGGGCGACTGAGCACAGGAGGGATTGGGGAGGGGAGGGAAATGACTGCAACTTGCTCCCAGGGACTGGAGAAATTTAAAAAATAAAAAGAAAATAAAAAAGAGGTTCGGAATCCATCAGTCTTCTGTGCCAGTCATCCTCGCCTTCATCCTCCTCTCCTTCTTCCCCTTCATCATCATCTTCATCACCTTCATCTCCTTCTTCATCAATATCTTCCAAGCCTTCTTCTTCTTCTTCATCATCATCATCATCTTCTGCCTCTCCTTCTTCATCGTCCATATCAGGAACCAAATAGTACTGCAAGGGGTTTGGCCAGATGTCATCTTTGATGACCTCTCCTAACTCATCTGCACCTGCATCAGAGTGGTCAGTAAACCAGGTAAAGAAGCTCTCTGGCTCTTCGTGTTGTCTCTTCCTGCTGGCCTTATTCTGTGCTTGACTCGAGCGTTTTGTCAAATCCTTTCCAGATTTCCATTTGATCTCAGTGGACTTTGAGGATGGGTCACCACTCTCATTCAGATGAAATTCTTTGGAGAGAACTTTATTTTCGAAGTAGGGGTTTTCATCAAAACAAAAATCTATTCTGTAACCTGATTTAATGTCTTCAAATTCTGTTACTTCAACTCTGGTTAAATAATGCAGAGCCTCTTCGTCTTCCTCCCCAAGCAGTGCAGACACTTGTGGATGGCTGACAAATGTGGTTACCCAAAAATTTGGGATTTTAGCGATCAATTCTGACCTCTTCTGAAAAAACGGTTGGCGGAGTTTGTTATATTTTTGTTCTACTTTTAGTATTTCCTCACTGGCTTGTTCATTAAGTCTGTCTATTTCATTTTGTACTTCGTCAATGTGTTCAATTGCTTCTTGCTGTTCTTTTTCTCCCTTCGGCAGGCCGGGAGAGGCCGACTTGTCCTCCAGTTTCGGGGAAGGAGCCGATTTGGGTTTCTTGGACTGAGGCAGAAGCGCAGATTGCCGTTTCGGGGCCATGGCACGAGGGAAGTGGCTAGAAGCCAGAGGCCAGAGGCCAGATGCACACAGCAGGAAGAAACTCGCAGGAACTGGGTTGTGGAATTTTCATCCGACGTTAAGGAAAGTCACTGAGGTCAGGTGTGAGGCAGAATTCATTCGTGGAGATCCTGAGAGACTACTGAGTGAAACTGTGAAAGTGTGAAGCCTGTATTGCATTGGAGACCCTGAGATGTTAGTGAAAGACCCTAATTTCTAGGGTTCAGGAAGGATCCCTCAGACTCAATAAGCCACGCCAATGGATGCAAACAGCAAGAGGATTCTTTATTGTCAAAGGCGCCAATGGGAGACTCAGTACTCCAGTGAGACTGAGCCCCCCTTGTATTTTTCCAGCCAGTATTTATAGGGTCTCAGAGTTGCATAACGGGGAAGCATAGCAACAGCAATGCCATTGGTCAACTCAAATTAAATTAACGTATGGAGTGGATCAACAGGTCAAAAACAAATCTACAAAAACAAGTCTAAATTAAGCTAGTTTCAGCCAGTTTCTGCCCCCTGGGTTTCGAAACACAAAGGACTGGGTGTTTTTCTCAAGACTGCCTCTGTTGTCCACAGATATCCTGTTTTCATCCTTTAGGCAGGTGCAGCCGGTCTTACAACTGCTTCTGCCGCCAACAGATATCCTGTTTTGCCCTGGCCTGTTTGATCAAAACATCTTAAGATAGAGACTAGGGCTGGGGTCTTTTGATCTTAAGATAGAGACTAGGGCTGGGGTCTTTTGATCTTAAGATAGAGACTAGGGCTGGGGTCTTTCGATCTTAAGATGGAGACTAAGGCTGGGTCTTTCATTAGGTCAGCCAGAGTCGTGAAATATCTGCCAAGAAGAAGCTGCATTCAGGGATGTAACCCGCCTGAGAGAGAGGTGTCTTACAGGCAGCAAGCTGAAAGGGCACAGCCATCTAAGGCCTTTGACATCAGATAGGGTTTGGAGTTGACAATACTGGATTTTTGTCTTTCTTCTTTATGGTATTTCTCCATTATGCTCCAATTCTGCCCTTTTGGAACATCACTGCATACTCTGTACCACTGCATGTTGGAAGTATGTAGTTTGCCTTTTGATTTTCTAGGGGGTGCAATTAAGAGATTGACTTCAGATTCAGAAAAGATTTGGACTTTTAAACTGTTAAAACTGTGAAAGACTTTGGGGTTGGACTAAATGTATTTTGCATCATGATATGCAGCTAGCCTATGGAGTCCAGGGAGAGGAATGTGGTGGCTTGAATGAGAATGGCTCCTATAGGCTCGTATGTTTGAATTCTTGGTCCCCAAGTTTGGGAAGAATTGGCATGTGTGGCCATGTTGGAGGAAGTGTGTCACTAGGGCCAGATTTTTCAAAAAGTCATGGCATTCCCAGTGTTCTTTCTGCCTCCTATTTGCGGATTAAGATGTGAGCTCTCTGGGCCTGTCCTTTGCAGAAGACACAAAGTGGTCATGGGAGAGCTGGTCCTGCCCTGCTCCAGCTACCACATGGTTTTCCTTAGTTGATGGCTTCTGGTGTTGATGTGGGAAGTCCTTCTGTATATGTGTTGCTTTTATTGGTTAATGAATAAAGAAGTTATTTCGGCCAGTGGCTTAGCAGAATAGAGCCAAGTGGGGAAAACTAAACTAAATGCTGGGAGAAAGAACACAGGGTCAGGGAGGCGTCATGTAGCCACCAGAGGGGAAAGACACAAGTTGCCAGCTGGAACCTTGCCTGTAGGCCACAAGCCTCATAGTAAAATATAAAATAATAAAAATGGGTTAATTTAAGATGTAAGAGTTTGACCAGGCAGTGGTGGCTCACACCTTTAATCCCAGCACTCAGGAGGCAGAGGTAGGTGGATCTCTGTGAGTTAGAGGTCAGCCTGGTCTACAAGACCTAGTGCCAGGACAGGCTCCAAAGCTACAAAGAAAAACCCTGTCCCAAAAAACAAAACAAAACAAAAAGATGTAAGAGCTTGCTAGGAATATGCTAGAGTGATTGGTCAAGCAGTGATTTAATTAATACAGTTTCTGTGTGGTTATTTCAGGAGTCTGGGTGGCCGGGAAATGAACAAGCAGCCTCCTACAACAAATTGGCGCACCATGTGGTCGACTGTATCCACATTAAACCTAAGAAAGCTTGGAAAGGAATTCTAGACACAAAAGAACAGAGTTAAGCATGGCTTACCACTGTGGGCTCCTTAAAGAGGTCTTCCCGATTCAGCTGTAAAGAAAAAGGTTTTGCAACAGCAGTTTCCCAGGCCACGCCGCCAGCACAAAAGCTGACTCTTTCGGCAGGTCCATCTACACAGCATTTAAATGGAGTTTGTGAGCAGAGTGCTACAATTTGCTTAATAACAACAAAGACCTGCTGTGTCCAGACCCTGGGTCTGGGGCAGAGAGTATAACTCTCAGAAGCAATGAATAGACCTCTGACATGTTGGACTGGGCAGAGTCAAAAGGCAAAGCAGCCTTGTTGGCCCTGGCCATACCTGCTTAGCAAAAAAAGAAAAAAAAGATACTTCTGGTCAGAAAATAATTACAGATACACAATAAAGACAGATTCAGATTTAAAAAAATAGACCTCTAAAATGGGTCACAGTGTTGGACAAATGTATGTAGGCTTGGGAGAGAAAAGAAAAAGAGTATAGAGCGTTAAACTTGCAGAAAAATAGAAATAAAGAAAACTAAGCCACATAAAAATGGAATATACACAGAGAGTCTAGATTATGTACATTATTGTGTTTTATTTGAATTTTTTGACTGCAGAGAGACATTTGATTCTGGGGATTGCTAAGTTAAACCAACATATATATTTCAAAGGCTTCTTGATTTAAAGGTTTCTTGACTTTAAAGTTTGAGTCTAAGGATATGTTGCTTTGGAAAAGAGGTTATTCTTTTGTTTCCACAGAGGATGAGAACCTGTGGAATCCTTCCAGACTATGTGGTTTGATGGACCAAGATCCTTCAAAAACACCCCCCAAAATTATTCCACTCAACTAAAAGCAGGAAGTAGTTTGGAGAGAACTATGCCCAAATTCCCTAAACAATTGTTTATAAATGTCTGTTTACATTTAAAGGGGGATATGTTATAGAGATTTGCAAATTGGTATGGATCTTGGTTTATTGATACAAATTTAAGATCAATTTTGTTACATAATTTTTCTGCTCTTAAGGTACTGTGTTTGTATAGCTCATTTAAAAATGTAATGCATAATTAAGAAATATAGGTTAATAGACAATCTTCTATAATAGTCAAACTTGTAGTCATGTTAGGTTTTATTTTTCTATTTTATTTATTATGTACACAGTGTTCTGTCTTCATGTATGCCTGAAGGCCAGAAGAGGGCACCAGGTCTCATTGTAGATGGTTGTGAGCTACTATGTGGTTGCTGGGAATTGAACTCAGGACCTCTGGAAGAGCAATCAGTGCTCTTAATCTCTAAGCCATCTCTCCAGCCCATTAGTTAGGTTTTCTAGATGTATAGAGATATATTTCAGAAGGATAGTTATTCTTCAAACCTTTCAAAGACTACAGAATATGGCATTTAAAATGTTTGAGAACTAAGGATTTTTCATGACAATGAGAATCAATTACTTCAAAAGGAATTGGTCATCAAACAGGCTTCTTATGTAGTTTGCTAACCATTTTGGCAAGAAACTGCTCTTGCCTAAACTACTTCATGGTATGCTGTATAAACTGGACATTCAGGACCCACAGAAAAATGACTGCTGAACTTACCTAAAGGTGAGACTGTTCTTCAGGGTTCCTGCTTCATGAAAGAGTTTGCCAGACATTCTACAGGACACACAAGAAAGTGATTGACAAACTGCCAATATAGGCAGAACTGTCTTTGAAATTTCCTGCTTCATGGAAAAGTCTGCCAGATAGTATGGGCCTGTAGGCTGAAGAGTGCCCCAATGTTACAGAACTTTGGGTGAGTGTCCAAGCAGCAAGATGTCTCTGTCAATTCTAGAGTTTTGGATGTTGCTTACAATGTACTTCCTGTTTACTTAGGTAATAGTATATTCTTCTGGAGTCTTTGATGGGGCTGAAGAAAAGTTATTGTAGTTTTCCTTATTTATGATAAAAGATAAAGTAGCTAGGAGCTGGAGAGATGGCTCAGAGGTTAAGAGCACTGACTGCTCTTCCAAAGGTCCTGAGTTCAATTCCTAGCAACCACATGGTGGCTCACAACCATCTGTAATGAGGTCTGGTGCCCTCTTCTGGCCTACAGACAGAATATTGTATACATAATAAATAAATAAAATATAAAAAAAAAGATAAAGTAGCTATAAATGTTGTAAGTGTAATTTTTGCTTGGTAACTGCTTTGTTATATGTAATTTTAATATGTTAAAGTTAAAACCTTCCTTTTTATTTCAACAGAAAAAGGAAAATGGTGTGGGAAGTCCTTCTGTATATGTGCTGCTTCTATTGGTTAATGAATAAAAAAAGCTGCTTTTGGCCAATGGCTTAACAGAATATAGCCAGGCTGGAAGAAATATATAGAGAGAGAGTAGGCAGAGTCAGAGAGATGCTATGGAGCCACCTGAGGAGAAAGACCAAGCAGTCAGCTTCAAACTTGCCAGTAGGCCACAAGCCTCATGGTAAAATATAAAATAATAGAAATGAGTTAACTAAAGAGATAAGAGCTAGCTAGCAATACACTTAAGTGATTAGCCAAGTACTGATTTAAATAATATAGTTTCTGAGTGATTATTTCAAGTCTGAGTGGCCAGGAAGAAACAAGCAGACTCCTACTACAATGGGGCGAGGCGGGGGAGTTTGGCCACTAAAAATTTGACCATGTTGTAGTGAATATATGGACAACACAAAATGGACTTGCTTTTTCTTTTGGGGGAGGGGGATGGTCACGGGCTGGGGGCAGACATGGGAAGACTGGGAGGTGAGTACAATTAGGACACACGATGTGAGATTCCCAAATAATCAATAAAAGTATAACTTAAACAAAAAGATGGCTAGGCAGTAGTGCACATCTTTAATTCCAGCACTCAGGAGGCAGAGGCAAGCAGATCTCTGAGTTCAAGGCCAGCATGGTCTATAGAGTGAGTTTCAGGACAGCCAGGGCTACACAGAGAAACCCTGTCTTAGAAAAAAAAAAGTGAGCTCTTAACTGTCCTTGTCCCTGCACTTTTGCTGTTGTCACTGACTCTATCTCTCTGAAACCATTAAGTCCAATCAAACACTTTTGTTTATAAGTTGCCTTGGTCGTGATGTGTTGTCACAGCAAAGAACTATTACACCAAAGCAGAGACTCAAGCAGAGTGAGAACCTGGAGGTGGACCTGATGCAGAGGCCATAAAGGAGGCTGCTTACTGGCTTGCTCAACATGGATTACTCAGCCTGCTTGCTTGTATACCAGGGTCACCAGTCCACGGATGGCACTACTCATAGTGAGCTGGACCTTCCTATATCAACCAAAAAAAAAAAAAAATTGCATCATAGGCTTGCTCAATCTGGTGGGGGTATTTTCCAGAGGTTCCCTCTTCTTGAAGTCTTCATTGTTGATGTAAAACTAGCCTTCACACAGCTCCAGCTTGATTTCTCTGTATCATTTAAACTTCCTGTTTCTTCAACAATGAGGTCTTAGCATCTAGTTATGGCGCTCAACCAAGAGCAACAGCAATATGCTATTTTTGTTTTGAGAGCCTCTAGAGCCTCCTTGACTAGTAATTCATAGGAAGTATCCTACGTCAGGCACTAAGAATTTCATTTAATAACTCAGGTCTTCTGGGGGAAGTATTGTCCATTCATTCAGAGCATCTCCATTAAAACACGTGTATGTGTATTTATATATATATATATAAACACATACATACATACATATATTAAAACAGGCATGGTGATGTGCACCTTTAATCCCAGCATGCAGGAGGCAGAAGCAGATGGATCTCTGTGAGTTCCAAAGCAGCCTGGTCTACATAATAAGTGCCAGGATAGCCAGGACTACATTGTGAGACTCTGTCTCAAAATAACATGAATAACAGAAATAAAAATGAATAAAAACACGTACTTTAGGGCTGGAGAGATGGCTCAGAGGTTAAGAGCACTGGCTGCTCTTCCAAAGGCCAGAGTTCAATTCCCAGCAACCACATGGTGGCTCACAACCATCTATGAGATCTGGTGCTCTCTTCTGGCGGGCAGGCATACATGCAGACAGAACATTGTATACAAAATAAATAAATAAAACAAAAAACAAAAAAAAAACCCACGTACTTTAAAATTAGTTTACAGAGTATGAAGCCTTAAAGCTCCTCATTCATCCTTAGTTTTGGATAATCCTACCATCCACTCCACTCAAACTCTTAATACCAGAAATTCCCATTTTCAGGTGTTCTACTAGCCCTACCTCCCTAAAGACCTCTCCCCTTCTCCCTCTCAGGGACCCTTTCTAGATTCTTGACCTCTGCAGACACTCCCACTCAGACACACAAATCTAAAAATTTGAAGATAGACTCTGTATATGCGAGAGAGCACGAGGTATTTGTCTTTCTGGGGCCTGAATTACCTCATTCAATATTAGCACTGCAAGCACCACACATTTTCTAGGACTCTCTTAGCACTGGACTCCTAGGCAGAGAAGATAAAGTCTGGAGGCAGATGTCAAGGCAGCATGCTACAGAGACAAAGGCCATGCTGGGTTACTGAAGCCCACCTTCCCTTGCTCAAAGTTTCTAATATTCTTCACTGTTGCATCTTTGGAGTAAAGCATTTTCTCTTTTGCTTGAGCCAGGATCAGGACATAGCCTGGGTTGGTCTTTAACTCTCAGTCCTCCTGCTTTTACAGTACAGTCATTACAGGTATGTGCCACTACCCTCAGCCATTTACATTTAGTAGAGGTCATCGTTCCTGTAACTTTTTGTTCTTATTGTAACTTTTGAAAATCAACTATCAGTTAAACTAGATACTCTGAATTGTCTTCATGGCCTTTTCTTTTTAGATGTTATTTCTCTGTATATATCTTGCTTCAAATTTTGTTCAGGTTTGGAGATGGCTCTGCGGTCTCCTTGGATAGAGTAAACTATAGTCCAGAATTCCTTTTTGTTTGCAGTTAGGGTAGAGAGATTCTGCTCGAGTTAAAGAGCGGATGGTAAGGCAGGCCCTTGACAGTATTACACATCTTCTCCCAGGTACTCAGGCAGGCACTGGTCAGGCACAGTCTCATGTGGGGTGCTACCAGTATGGCTGAACTTTGCCATCTGCCCGTGGTTCAACTGGTGCTGGACACTCTAATAAAGTCTAGTTTGTATGTCTAGTAAAGCTTCCAGTTCATCACTGAGAGAAGTCATGAACTAAACAGGAACTTGGAGGCAGGAGCTGAAGCAGAGATCACAGAGAAATGCTTACTAGTTTTCTCAGGTTGCATTTTTATACCCAGCACCATGTGGCCAGGAGTGTCATGGCCAACGGGCAGGGTCCTTTCATAGCAATCATTAATGATGAAAATGCCCTACAAATTTGCATACAGGCTAATCTGATGAAGGGATGACTCCAGTTTATTTCAAGTTGACAAAAACCAGCACAGACATACACACTCACTACACTGGGCTGGAGACGGAACAGAGCTTCATGCATGCCAGGCAAGCATCCTATCAACTGAGTTACACTCCAGTCCAGGATCTTTTTATTTTTAAGTTTTTTATATTGGTCTTTGAGCCTTTTGATTACCCTAATAAAAGGCATAAAATATGAATTTAGTACCATAAGCTATATTATTCCTCTTTCTAGCACTGGCTTAAAGGTCTAATTTTTTCCATAAACATTTGGAGACAGGCCAGTGTGAGTTGCTCAGGAATGGAGACAAAGCCCTAGAGAAGGAAGCAGGCAGAGAAACTGGAACCACAGAATCTGTCCACTGACCTAGTCAGTGAGAACTGTCATGATGGTCACCTAAGGGGAATACTGAAGGATTTCTTTTTTAAATGTGAATGAGTATTTTGCATGCATGTATGTCTGTGAACCACATGTGTGCCTGGTGCCTGCAGATGCCAGGCATCAGATTCCCTAAAACTAGACTTATGGATGGTTTAGAGCCACCATATGGGTGCTGAGAATCAAACCGAGGTCTTCTACAAGACCAACAAGTGCTCTACACTGCTGAGCCATCTCTCCAGCCCCTCCCCAATTTTTGAAAGATTCTTAACTGTCAGGTACACAGTAAATAACAGGTAACACAAAATGTTTTTTCCTATAAAAACTGTATTCAGGCCAAAACATTTAAATGCATGACCAAAACCTGTTATTTTATCAAGAAGGATATTGTTATGTCCTCTAAGAACAATCATTTACTTCTTGGGAAAAAGATGTCTACTTGTCTGTCACAGTTCCATCATGTCTACTTTCTTTGTAAGTTCAGCTTCGATGGCATCCTAGAGAAAAGAAATAAGTTATAAATAAAGACATGATTAAAATAAAAGAAGTAGAAAAGGAAAGCATTAAAACAAATTTTATTTATTTTTTGTAGTCCTAGAGATCAAATTGAGGAACTTACGTAATTTAGTGAAGCCCTCTACTGCTGAGCTACATTGCCATCCCTTGGTGTGTGTGGTGTGCATGTGTGTGCACATAAGTGTCTGATACTAGTGAAGCCTTCTACTGCTGAGGTACATTGCCAGCCCATGTACATGCATGTGTTAGTGTATGTAGTTTTGTTTGTGTGTAGCTTTAGCTAGGGTCAAACTTGAAGTAATCCTCCTGCCTTGGCCTTCTGAGTAATGAAATTTTAAAAATACTGTTAAGAATTTCAAACGTGCTTTTAAATATTCACTTGTTTTTATATCAACCCATCCTCTCCCCTCCAACTGCCCTGTTGTGGAATATTAGTTGAAGATGTGCTACATTTGTTTATGCTGCGGAACATTTGGTTAATGATGCAAAGATGTGTTGTATTCTTATAACAACTCTGTGACGCTGTGTTACTTTGCTTGTCTAAAACACCTGATTGGTCTAATAAAGAGCTGAACTGCCAATAGCTAGGCAGGAGAAAGAACAGGCAGGACTGGCAGGAAGAAAGAATAAATAGCAGGAGAAATCTAGGCTCAGAAAAGATAGAGAAGTGAGAAAAATAGAAGAGAAGGACATCAGGGGCCAGCAACCCAGTTACACAGCCAGCAATGGAATAAGAAAAAAAGGGACATAGAATAAAGACAAAAGCCCAGAGGCAAAAGGTACACAGGATAACTTAAAAAAAAAAAAGCTGGCTAGAAACAAGTCAAGCTAAGGCCAGGATTCATAAGTAAGAATACGTCTCAGTGTGTTTATTTGGTAGCTGAGTGCTGGACCCCCCAAAAAGAGCTAAAGAGAAACAAGAACAACACCCCCAAGTTCTCAAACTCCTAAATGACTGTAATGAACGAACGTCCTAAGGGGAGACCTTAGAAAGATGCAGTGCACATGGGTAGACTTCTAGGTCTGTGCTCCACAGCGCTGCATACACACCTTTCATCCTCAGGGCTTTGTCACTTCTCACTTGACCTAAATAAACCAACTGCTCTCTGCAAATTTTTTCTCCCCACTCCAGTCTGCCTCAAATGCTGGTTACAGAACTACCGTCCCAAAGCACTGGCCTCATCAAAAAGTACAACCTTGATTACTTTTTTGACTTAAAAAAAAAGGAACAAAAAGAAAAATGAATAAATAAAAGCAAGGATCTCAGCAACTGTCACCAGTCTCTTGCAGCTTCTAAGATCAAGTCTATATATATATATATATATAAGACCCTATACAATTTCTTTTTTTTTTAAGATTTATTTATTTATTATGTATACAGTGTTCCATCTGCATGTATACCTGCAGGGCAGAAGAGGGCACCAGATCTCATTATATGGATGGTTGTGAGCCACCATGTGGTTGCTGGGAATTGAACCCGGGTCCTTTGGAAGAACAGATGGTGCTTTTAACCATTAAGCCATCTCTCCAGTTCTCCTTTACAATTTCTATCACAAACCCTGTCTTGGGCTGTGTATGCCCAAGCAGTTGAACCTCATCGCTCGACACAGCTTAGAAATCTTATTATCTCAATTTAATAATTGCTAATTAAAAAGGGGGAAATGAAGGAAGAAAAATGGGAATTACTTACTAATTCTCTCTTTGCCTCTTCAATTTTCACTTGAGCAAGAGACGGATTCTTAAAAAGGAAAACAAAACAAGGAAAGTCTGATGAGAAGTCTCACACGGCTCTGCTAGATGCAGTTGGCACTATTTTGGTAAGCTCTAACCTTGAAGAGGAAGAAGTCACTATGGCTGAGGTTTTTCAAGACAGGGTTTCTCCATGTAACAGCCCTAACTGTCCTGAAACTTGCTTTGTATACCAGACTGGCCTTGAATTCACAGGGATTTCTCATGCCTCTCCCTCCTGAGTGTTGGGATTAAAGGCATGCGACCCCACTGCCCAGTCCTATATGGAGCCATTTTCTTTTAATTAATTAATTAGTTTGCTTGTTTATTGGTTTTTTTGAGACAGGGTTTCTCTGTGAAGCTTTTTGTAGCCTGTCTTGGAACTCGCTCTGTAGACCAGGTTAGTCTCAAACTCACAGGGATCGGTCTTCCTCTGCCTCCTGAGTGATGGGATTAAAGGTGTATGCCACCACCTCCCAGCTTATGGAGGCATTTTCTCAATTGAGGTTACCTCCTTTCAGATAACTCTAGTGTGTGTTAAACTGACATCAAACTATTTAGCACAAGATTGGTTCCTGGTTTCTGGATTGTTCTCTGCTTCCAGATCTGCCATGTTGTACTGACCTGTTCCACCTGCCTTTCCCACCACTATGGCTAAAACTATGAAAATGTGAGCTTTGCTACTACTAAATGAGTCTTTGCTCCCTTAAGTTGCTTCTGTGAGGGATCATGGGCACAGTGATACAAACAAATACAGAAAGGAAAGTCACTTCACAACACAATCCTTCAAAAGGCAAGGAAAGTTAGCGAGAACACCCAGTACACAGACAATACTGAAATTTACCAATAATCATGTGTGTGTGGCGGGGGTGTTAAGACAGGATCTTGGTGGGAAAGATGGTTAATGGCACTTGCTGCCAAACCTGGGGATGAGTGGAATCCATAGTAAGAGAATCGGCTCTGGCCTCCACGCGTACTGTGACATCCCCCCCCCCCAAAAAGTAAATGTAACAAGACAGAGCCCAAACTGGCCTTGAATTCAAGACCTCAACCTCCCAATCTCCCAGAGATATGGTCCACTATGCCAGGCACACAACTGTCTTTGTTTTGTTATTCAGATACAAAATTTTATTCTGTAGCCAAAGCTGTCTTAGAACTCAGTGATCCTCTGCCTCGGCCTCCAAGTGTTCAGATTACAAGTATGAATCACCATTCTCAGTTCTGCCATTGATTTTACACCCTTGGAACACAAACCCACTATGCTCTGATCTCTTAGTGTCTTTAGAGAAGGTTTGAAGATGAGACTCCAAGAAAACCCATAATAACAGTTACCGGCATTAAATCTAAATAGGACTCCAATTTCTTCTTCAGAGGTAAAGTCTGCTGTTTTAGTTCCATGAGTTTCTGGAAATGAAAAAGAGATATATGCACAAAACAACTAAACAGTGCTCATTTCTGAAATAAAATGCAATAAAGCATTACTATGTAGGTATCTGACTGAGATAGAATCTTGGCTTCCTGAAGGTTGGCAAGCAGTCTACCACTGAACTACACTGTCCAACTCACATGTATTTTAAATCAAAGAACTTCACAGATCACCTCATTTCTAATAGAAACAATACATGTCCAAATGTTTAGAATAAATTATATTCCTACTTACACGGTATAGGACTACAGAGGCTACCATTATGGTTCAGGGGTAAAGACACTGCAGTCAAGCCTGGAGAACTAAGGTTTTTCTATTTTTCTTTTAATTGTATTTTATTTTATGGTAAGTTTTTGTTTGTTTTGTAACCTTTTTTATGTGCCCCTAGAGGTAAGAATAATCTACTGAATCCCCTGGAACTAGAGCCACAGATGGTTGTGAGCCACCGTGTGGGTGCTAGGAGACAACCTGGGTCCTCAGCAAGAGCACAAGAGTTTCAACCACTGAGCCATCCCTCCAGCCCGTTTCATTTTTTACGTTCATTTTCTGTGTATGAGTGTTATGCCTGCATATATGACTGTGAGTCATATGTATTCCTGGTGTCCATAGAAGCAGGTGTCAGGTCCCCTGCAAGTGGAGTTATAGACAGTTGTGAGCCACCATGTTGGTGTTGGGAATTGAATCCAAGCCTTCTACAAGAATAGTCAGTGCTCTTAATGGCTGGGCATCTCTCTAGCCCCCTGATAAACTAAGTTGGATCCCAGGACCAATGTGGGGAAAAGAAATCAAACTCCTCTAAATTGCGTGTGCTGTGTAGAAGCTGGAGGTTGACACTGAGTGTCTTCCTCAGTCACTCAACACCTTATTTTTTGAGACAATGTCCTTCACTAGACGTGAAGGTCACTGACAGGCTAGACTACCTGACAAGTGCCAAGTATATGGGCTTCCATGTCTGACTTGAAGCTGGAGCTGCTGCTCAGTAGTTATGTAAACTCAGGGAAATTACAGAACCTCTCTGTTGTTCCCTCATCTACATAAAGGGACTGATAACACAGAAACTGTCTGTCTTTAGCCCCTAACTCCCCAGGGCTGGGTTTACAGACATGTGCAGCCACACCCAGCTTTCACATGGGTGCTGGGGACCCAAACTCAGGTAATCACTTTCCCAACACTGAGCCATCTCCCTCGCCCTGGAACCTGCATCTTCTGCTGTCCACCAAAGAACACAGTAGAGGGCCCTCAGGTCTTAGACTACTTAGCCTTTAGAATCACGAACAAAATAAACTTCTATTTTAACTGCTCATAAATGATCCAGTCTGGAATATTCTGTGAAAGCAGCAAAGCACACACTAAGACGGGGGCTTACCTCTGAAAGTGCCACTAGTGACCGATGGGACAGAGACATATCCATGCCTCTGGCTAAGAGCTGCTCCTGCAATGTGAGGAAAAAAGAATTCAGCTGAAAAATCCATTTAAAAGAAACTGTCATGAAAATGTTTTCAACAAGCGATAAAGAATGCTACAGATCACAAATTAAAAAGCAGACGTGTCTAAGCTAGTTTGTGTGACTTGTGAATCCTTTCCGCACTGAGACATGGTGAGAAGATGGGTGCCGAGTGTAAGCGTTTAAATGCCCGGCTTTGAACCTGGAGCTGCTCACAGTTACATAGACGTGGGCAGGTCACAGACTTCCCTGTAGTTCTGTCATCTACAGACACTACTTCCTACTGGGAGGACAGCAGTCTGAGAGGCTAGCTAGATACAGCTCTTCATACACACCTGTGCAGCTTTGATTCCAAACCTGAACTCCGCTGCCTTTGCTTTCAGGAAGTCCATGTTCTGAAGACGACTATCGACTTTGGCCCTCTCTGCAGACAGATGCAGCTCTGCCTTCTTGAGATCTCTTCCAAAATAAAAATTAAAGCATTTTTTTCTTCCCAGTAAACAATTATTTAAAAAAACAAGAAAATCAACTCCCTCTTTAGGGATTTAACTCTGGCTTAGTCAATATAGATAATCTACTTGGCAGCTATTCCACCACAAGTTTTACATCCCAGACTACAATGCATTCTTTAGGGCATTTATCCCTCCATGTTGCCAGTGTGGGACTTTTCTGAAGGAACATAAAAACATTAACATTAATCTATAACAATTATTCTTGGAACAACTAAACATGTTATTTAAAAAAAAAATGGTTTAATATATCCTAAGCCAATTTGAAATACAGAATACCAAAGACCTCTCTACTATATGTGACATGACACTGTGCCTACTACATACATTTTATTTGTTGAATCATTTGTATGTGACCAAATTACTCTGCCTTTACATAAATGCTAACCACCAGCTCTAATCTCTGGGCCAATAAGAATCTAAAGGCTCACAGCACCAAATATGAGAGACATTCGAGGGACATTAGAGCGACAGAAAAAACATACCGAATATGTGTCTTTAAATTATATGGTAGTTTGTGAGTTTAAAAATTTGAAAATTATAAACTACACATTTTTAATAAAGCAAAAATAAATATATGGGTAACACACTATAAAAAGTAAGATATGAAAATCTGTACCTAAGCCTTCCTGAATTGTTCAGGCAGCCATGGACTTAAGTGGCTCCTGCTTCAGCCTTCCAGTAGCTGGGATTACAGTCCTGTGCCATCATGCCTGGTTTGACAATGCCCTACTAATATTTTTTTTGAAAAGGTCAACATTTCAACTCACTCTCGTAGACATTTTTCTAACACTAATGTTGCAGTCAGATTTTTTCCAAGTTTTCCCAATTCCAGATTAATTTCTTCACTTTTGGATTTGGTATGAAAAAGGTCAGAAGTCAAATCATTCACTGTAGGAATAAAACTGAAAGGAAACATGGTTACACCGATGAGCTAAGGATAAGCACTGCTAAAAATGATCTCTCTAGAGCTCACACTGCTCCATCCACTTATACAACTCACACACGCTGTTCCATTGCCTGAAATGCCCATCAGCAGGCAAAACTCCCTTTTCCCTAGGTAGGCTGAGTGTGGTGGCGCACACCTTTATTCCCAGGGCTGGGAGGCAGAGGCAGGCAGATCTCTGAGAGTTCAAGAACCCCTGATCTGCAGAGTAAGTTCCAGGCTAATCAGGGATACATAATGAGACCCTGTTTTAACAAAATAAAAACAAAACCAACAAACAAAAACCCTAAGAAAAAAACCAAAAACCTCTCAAGTAAGAGTTACCCATCCTGAATTACTGTCCTTTATCTGTACGTGCCAGGGATAGCATCCTTAGTCTTAGTACACGAGTCTAACCCATGTAACAGCTGCTCTGTTACAGGGTGGCGGATTTCTCTCCACTGTTCTCTCTCATTTGACTAAGAAACTGTCTTTGAAGGTCATGTCTAGATCCCTATTCATCTCTACTTCCCTAGTATTAACACCTACACAGTTGTGTTTGGTATGAGAAGAATTGATTTGGTCTACACCACTGCTGCCATGTAGTCTACATGCTTTACACTTACAACACCACTCTTTAAGCATTATACAAAGCCCAAACCTTTACACTGGCAGTTATGTACAACACACTTCTGTGTACTTGGTGGTATGGTAAGCTGCAGTAGTAGTCCTAGCTAACAAGTGGCCACCAACAGTAGTCATATGGCCTTTAGAGTCAGATTTGCTTAGAGTCCAACTCTTCAGATTCCTCTAAGAATGGTAGAAGAATTATATCATTATATAGGTGAAAGAAAGGTCTATCTCAAACAATGAGGGTCTTTAGCATGGTGGTGATTATACATGCCTTTAAACCCAGAACTCAGGAGGCAGAGGCAGGTGAATCTCCGTAAATTCAAGGTCAGCCTGATCTACAGACTGAGTTCCAGGACAACCATGGCTACACCTGTCTCAAAAAAAGGGGGGGGGGCTTAACTTATTTAATGATTTAATGTTGTATATGACCAAAACATGCTCAACCAGGTCATTTAACCTACTACTGTTCTGCTTGTTTGGTGGTAGGCAGGTCCTCACATAATATACCCTGGTCTCAAACTCCCTAAGTGGCTGATGATGACCTTGACCTTCTGATCTTCCTGCCTTCAGCTCCTGGGTGCTGGACTTATTCCAGGGTTATGCCCACATAATAACCTAACAGTCTACAGCTGCTCTAGTTTGTTCATTAGTGTTGTGATAAACACCAACACCAAAGCAGCATAGAAGAGGGTTTATTTTAGCTTACACTTACAGATACAACACTTAGAGAAGTCTCAGGGCAGGAACCCAAGTAAAAGCAACAGAGGAAACACTGATTACTGGCTCCATCTCTCTGTCTTCTGCTTGGCTAGCCTTCTTATGTAGTCCAGTGCCACCCACCCCTGGTACTAGAACTCAGCGCATGCAAACCAACACACAAACCACAACAAAAAAACCCCACCCAAACCAATCAACAAACTTAACAAACGAAAAAAATCACCTCAGCACTTTTGTATTTATTGTTAATTTTCTATGTAGAATTACAGTGAGAACCAAAAAAATCCTAAAATCAAGGCCTTACAGTATATTCTCCTATGATGTGAACACAGACCAAAACCATTACAATATTTACCTTGCTAGTGAAGTATCCTTTGTTTCCAAGGCTACTGCACTGTCAACCAATGCATTTAGAAACCTGGAACCAGTGTTAGACAGAGCGGCAGGGGAAAAATTCACACTCTCCATGAGAAAGTCCTGAAGATGTTTGGCTGAAACGAAAAAAGAATTTTATGGTGTCTCAGATGTTTTGTCTTTCTTGTTTTTTAAACTTTTATCAGTTTATTTATTTATTTATAAATATTTTATTTATTATGTATATAATATTCTGTCTGTGTGTATGCCTGCAGGCCAGAAGAGAGCACCAGACCCCATTACATATGGTTGTGAGCCACCATGTGGTTGCTGGGAATTGAACTCAGGACCTTTGGAAGAGCAGACAATGCTCTTAACCTCTGAGCCATCTCTCCAGCCCCATTTTTATTTATTTATTTTTAAGATTTATGTGAGCCAGGCATGGTGCTGAAAGCCTTTAATCTCAAACTTCAGAGGCAGTGCCACCCAGAATCAACCAAAACCAAAACAAGACACCTCTGATTTCAAGGCTAACCTGATTTACATGGAGAGTTCCAAGAGAGCCAGGGCTACACAAAGAAACCCTACCTCAAAAAATAATTATTATTATTTTATTTTTAATTATGTATATGTGTGTCTGTGCACTTTGAGCACAAGTAGAGTTGTGAAGTGTCCAGTGGGTTGGGTTGTGTTGGGAACCAACTTGTTCAATCCTCAGGACCCACACAGTGGAACACAGAACTGACTCTCCTGAGCTGCTCTCTGACTTCCACATGCTCATGTACCCACCCCTCAAAAGCAAGTTAAGTGAAATTTAAAAAAAAAAAAAAAAAGAAAAGAAAAGAAAAAGAAAAGAAAGGAAACAGGGGATCACTATGTAGACCTGAAATTCACAATGTAAACCATAATAGCCTTGAACTCAAGAGATCTGCCTGCTTCTGTCACCTGAATGCTAGAAGAACTAAAGAAGGACTAAAGAAGTCACCCTATCCATAAAATAAGTGTAATTTAACTGGATAGTGGTGGCACACTCCTTTAATCCCAGCACAAGGGAGACAGAGGCAGATGGATCTCTGTGAGTTCGAGGCCTGTAACATGAGGGGGCCGGCTTGTTGGGGTATCTGTCCCACCCAGTACCCCACAACTGGCAAGCCCAAAGAAAATCACTCACAAGACTTCATAAGATTATAAACTGATTGGCCCATTCGGTCAGGCTTCTTGTTAACTCTTATAACATATATTACCCCATTATCCTTATCTATGTTAGCCACATGGGCTCAGTACCTTTCTCAGTGTGACAGCTTACATGTTGCCTCTTCGGTGGTCTGCGCAGGAGTGGCAGAGGAACCTCTCTGCTTCCCAGAATTCTCCTGTTCTCATTGCATCATCTCTACTTCCTGTCTGGTTTTCCCACCTATACTGCCTGCCTGGCCAATCAGCATTTTATTAAAATATGATTGACAGAATACAGATAATTCTCCTGCACCGGAGGCCAGCCTAGTCTACAAAATAGTTTCCAGGACAGCCAGGGCTGTTACACAGAGAAACCCTGTCTCAAAACACTTAAAACCCCAAAAATCCAATTTGAAAAGATCATATGTATGAGAATCCAAATAAAGGAGTAAACATGGAAGTTTTGCACACCAAACACACTCTGTGCTAATTTTAAAAGACTATTAGGCTGGGATTAAAGGCCCAGCACTTGGGAGGCAGAGGTAGGATTTCTGTGAGTTCGAGGCTAGCCCGGTCTACAAAAGTTAGTTCCAGGACAGGCACCAAAGCTACAGAGAAACCTTGTCTCAAAAAACAAACAACAACAACAACAACAAAAAGACTATTGGAAAAAGTATATATGCATTAGAATTAAATATAACTGTACTATATTCAAAATATCATATAGGGTCTGGAGAGATGTTCAGTTTGTTGTGGTTGCTGTTGTTTGTTCTGAGATAAGAGTCTCTCTATGTAGCCCTGGTTGTCCTGGAGCTCTCTATCTAGACCAGGCTATACTCGAGACCCACCTCACTCAGCTAGAGCACTTGCTCTTGCAGAGGATCTAGATGCAGTTCCCAGGACCCACATGGTGGCTTACAATCACACTAAGTCCAGTTCCTGGGGATCCAACACCCTCTTCAGACCTCTACAAACACCGGGCATGCACGGAGTATACATAAATCCATGCAGACAAAACACTTTTGTACATAAAATAAATCTAAATTTTTTTTAAAAAAATATATATAACAAATGTCCTGCACTTGGTTAAACATATGGCAAACAGATCTCACTTACTCGGCTTGGTGCACTGTCATCCTCAAAACTTTTTGTTTAAGCAGAATGAGCATAAATTTATTAAGAAAAAGTAATAAAGAACCCTTGCGTGAGAGGAGTTGAGGAGTTCCAAAGAAGGAATGTCCCAGAAAGACTTTTGTCCTTCCCTTTGGCTTTGTACCCTGCTCTCACTCTTCATTTCTCCACACCAACAAAAAGAGGGCTTTTTTTGAGACAGTCTTGCCACGTGATTCAAGCTGACACTGCATTCCTAACGATTCTCATGCTTCACCTTCTGAATGCTGGGATTACAAACTTTCACCATCATACCTGTCTCCACAGGAAATTTTAAAGCAGGTCCCTGATCCACGGCCCCTGGTGATTTGTCCAAGTCTCACACTTCAGGGCTGCTGCCTCTGGTGTCTGCAAGCTCCGGAAGGGGAGAAAACTACAAACATCTTTCTTGTTTCTAATGTGCTTTTGTTCTGGTTTTTGAGACAGGATCTTACTGACCTTGAACTCACAGACATCCTCCTGCCTCTGACTCTAAAGTGTTGGGGTTAAAGGCATTCTCCCACCAACCCCCACCCCGGCAAATTTAATTCTCTTTTAGGATTCACTGTTACTAGCAGAGTACCAATAAAACACACTATAGCAAATTCCTAATTTGGAAGTTACTTTAATGGAGCGGAAGTCAATTGCCCAAAAAAATAATATTGGTGATAATCAATCCAAGTATCCTATCCTAATCGTGCAAGTCTAGTTACCACTACTACCTCTTTCAGAACTCGACATTAACTCACCTTCTGACTCATACTCATTTGCTTTCTGTTTTAAGTCCTCTATCACCAGGCAGATGTCCCTGTCCCGGACCCTGTTGCGTTCTGAAAGGTGATACAAAATTTCTGTCGTCCGTGGATTCACCTCATACTGTGGAATGGGATGGTCTCCGAATATTTTTTTCAACCACGCAGCAACCTAACCATGAAAAGGTAAGCCTTGGTATAATGGCACAACAGAATCCGTCAAAGCAGGGCTCCGCAGCCAACTCAACGTTTTCTGTGGCTTTTCCGGGGTCCTACTTCACATCCTGACTCGTCAACAAGGGAAAGGTCGAAATGACCAAGGAACCTCACTCTTTGCCAACGCGGCAAACGCAGCATCAGGCAAAAAAAAACCAAATCGAAACAAAAACCCACAACTGCCTCACTTGGACGATCTTAATGAGCGAGTGTGAAGTAAGATCCGTGAGTCTGAAAAGCGAGGGGTCCCCACCACACCCTAAACCCCCTCAGTGCCAGGCGGCTCCAGGAGTTGGACTGAGGCTCGGGTGTTTGAATTCCAGGCTTAAGCAGCAGAGGCTGGGCTGCAAGGCAGGTTTGCCTTGGGAATCCCACTCTATCACCTATTCTATTCTAATCACCTGAAGTGAGGGGCTCGACACAGCGGCTGGGACACCAGGAAACGGCGGGCATGGCCTCCTCGGGGGCCTCCCCGCCCGCAAGGGGCCTCAGGGCTCGCTATGGCACTGTGGGATCGGGACAGAAACTACAGTGGCGGCGAGCGCGGAGCCCGGCCGACTCAAGGGCCCGGGAGGGTTAGGCAGGTTCCCGACCCAGTTCCAGATGTCACCTGCAATTCTCTCTCCTCCGGCGTCGCCATGGCCGCCGCTCCCGCCACCTCACTCTCAAAACCTCGCGGGGAACGCCCCAGTCCCCACCCCCTAACCGTTGGGCCCGCCCCTCAGGCTCGGGAATTCTGGGAGTTGTGGTTTTTACCCATTCCAGTACCACAAACGCCTCAGGGACTAGACTGATGGAAGGTTTCAGCAGGCTTTGCTGCTTTCTTGGATCTGAGTCCACTGTGTCATAATCATAAAAACTAGAAGAGCTGCTAAAGGCAAGGTTTTTTTTTTCCCCTTATATCTACCTCTTCAATCAAATTGTCTTTAAAAAAAAGTACCTGTAACTTCCAGTTTTTAGTCTGCAGATGGTGTTGCTCCCACACTGATTGCATAAATTAGTTTTGGATATGGTGGCACTTGCATGTAATCCCAGAACTAAGACATTACATAGTGATATGGCAAGCTCCACGTCAGCCTGAGCTATAGCGTGAGACTGTGTCAAACAAACAAACCTACTCAAAAGGATTGAACTTCATAACTGGGAGTTGGTAGAGTGGTTACCCGACATGCAGATTGGATCCCCAGCAGATCATTTACTGTATATGGTAGTATACACTTGTAATTCCGGCACCTGGAAGGTAGAGGAAGGGTGATCGGAAATGTAAAACCATCTTCAACTACATAGCAAATTCAAGGCCAACCCTGTTTATATGAAACCTGTCTTAGTTAGGGTTTTATTTTTTGTTTTTTTTTTGTGTTGTTGTTGTTGTTGTTTGCTGTGAAGAGACAGCATGACCACTGCAACTCTTATAAAGAAAACCTTTAGGAGGCTGGAGAGATGGCTCAGTGGTTAAGAGCACTGACTGCTCTTCCAGAGGACCCGGGTTCAATTCCCAGCACCCACATGGCAGCTCACAACTGTCTGAAGATCCAGTTGCAGGGGATCTGACACTTTCACACCGATGCACATAAAATAAAGTTAAATAAACCATAAAAATATAAAAAAAATAAAAAAAAGAAAACCTTTAATTGGAGTGACTTGCTCGCGGTTTCAGAGGTTCAGTCCTTTATCATCATGATGGGGAGCACAACGGCATGCAGGCAGATTTGCTGGAGTCAAGAATGCTACATCTTGAAGTCTTGAAGACAGCAGGAAGTCAACTGATAGTCATACTTAGGGATGCTTGAGCAAAAGAGACTTCAAAGCCCACCCCCACAGTGACACACTTCCTCCAACAAGGACACACCTCTTAATAGAGTCACTCCTTTTGGGGACCATTTTCTTCCAAACCACCACAAAGACCTATCTCAAAAAACCAAAGCCAAATTAATTTTTTATTATACTCTGGCATAGGAGCTGCAGCTATCTTAATATTAGTTTCTGCTATCAAGAATCTAAATGTCCTTAAGATTTATTTATTTAAGTTTTTATGTTTTTATTACATTTCAAAATTTGTTTGGTTTGGGGGAGTTGCTGGTAGGGTGTCAAAGTACAGCTTTCAGGAACAGGTAGATTCTTGTTGTGGGATACAACTGTACACTGTGAAGATGTGCTGTTGTGGGATACAACTGTACACTGTGAAGATGTGTTGCTCTCATTGTTAATTAAAAGCAGATTGTCCCATGGCTAGGCGGGATTTGAAGGGCAGGAGAATGCTGGGGAGAAGAAGGGCGGAGAAAGAGGAGTCGCCAGCCAGATGGGGAAGATGCAACATGACACATGACGGGTGCATAGAAGAGGTCAGTTGGCCTCGGGACCGCACATAGATTAATAGACATGGGTTCATTTAGAGACATACACGGGTCTAATATACATGGGAAGTAGAAAAAGACAAGATTTCCTGAGTAGAATGGGAGCATGGGGAACATGGGAGAGGGTAGAAGGGGAGGGGAGAGGAAGAAAGGGGAGTGGAGAAAAATATATAGCTCAATAAAAACAATTAGAAAAAGAGACATGGGTTCATTTAAGTTGCAAGTGCTGGCTGGAGACAAGCCTACGCTATCAGCTGAGCATCCATAGTTAATAAGAAATCTCTGTGTGATTATTTGGGAAAGACTGCTGAGACACAAAGAAGCTCTGCCTATAGATTTTTCTCCTTCCAACGTGTAGGTCCCTGAGGTCAAACTTAAAGACCAAACTTGGGATCAAGGCTTGAAAGCAAGCACCTTTACCTACTGGGCCATCTCCATAGCCCTTTTTATTTATTTATTTATTTATTAATTTTATGATTTATTTATCTTTTTTATTTTATGTGCATTGGTGTGAGGGTGTCAGGTCCTCTGGAACTGGATTTTCAGACAGTTGTGAGCTGCCATGTGGGTGCTGAGAATTGAACCTGGGTCCTCTGGAAGAGCAGTTAGTGCTCTTAACCGCTGAGCCATTTCTCCAGCCCCCTATTTATTTATGTTTGATTTTAGGCTTTCTCATGTGGCTAAACTGGCCCCAAAGTTGCCATGTATAGGAGGACGACGTTGAACTCCTCACATTTCTCCATGCATATTTCTTCTGTATTTTGCTCTGTAGTCAAGGATGACCTTCTGCTGCTCCCTTACTTCCAGCTCCCAAGTGTGGAGATTACAAGTGTCTGCACCGCAGGAGGCTGTTGTGTGAGACTCCAGTTCTGTTCTCAGAACCCACACTAAGTGTTTCAAATACACCTGCAACTCTAGTTCCAAGGGATCTGATGCCTGTTCTAGCCTCTGAAGGCACCTGCAAACATGTAATGCACATACTTAAACTCTCTCACATACAAATATACACAAAATAAAAAATAAATCTTAAGATGGGTGTAGTGGCACATGACTTTATTTCCAGCGTCTGGGAGGCAGAATCAGCTGGCTGACTCTGTAAGCTCAAAGATAATCTGTTTTACATAGGGAGTTCCAGGACAGGCAGGTCTACATAGAGAGACCCTGTTCCAAACAAACAAACAAACAAACAAACAAACAAAACCAAAACAACAATAACAATAATAAAATAAATCTTTAAAAACCCTGTGGGTAAAATATATTGCTCTCTTCAATTTCATAGAGTAGGCATAGGATGTGTGTGTGTGTGTGTGTGTGTAAGAGAGGGAGAGAGAGAGAGAGAGAGAGAATACATTATTTATATTATATTCCAAAAGAGAAAATATAATAGACTCCTCAGGGTGACAAAAGTAGTTATTATTGACAGAAGAAAACTTGAGATTTATCTGAATCTAGAATGGTGATTTTTTTTTATTTTGGTCCATTCTCAGTAGGATTGTCAACCACTCTCTCAAACTCCTTGGGATTGTTTTTGAACCTATTTAATTTAGACAGGATTACTGGAAATTTTGAACCTATCTAATTTAGACAGGATTATTGGAAGTTTTGAGCCTATCTAATTTAGACAGGATTCTTCCCACTCCCTTCCCCAACTGGGCATTGAACGCAAAGCCTGCTACACCCCAAGCAGGTGGTCTACATTGAGATTTGTTCTAAGCCAAATCAATCTTTTCTGATTGGTTTATTAATCGATTGACAACTTGCTGTATCCAGGCTGATCTTGAATCGGTTAATCTTTAACTTTCCCAACAGGGATTACAGGATTGAGTTGTCAGGCCCAGCTTCCCCGAAAAGGTTCTTTTAGATTGAACCTTAAAGAATTTCAATTCTTTCATTTGTGCTATCAAACCCACTATAGATTTGGGTGTTTGAGTTGGAGAAATGGAGCACTAGCTGCTGCTCTTCTAGAGGCCCAGGTTTGATTCCTAGCACCTCCATAGTCACTCCAGTTCCACGGTATCTTACACCCTCTTCTGGCCTGTGAGGCCACAGGCACACATGGCGCGCATACATGCAAACAAAATATGCTTATGCATAATAAAATAAAACATTTTAATTAAAAAATATTTGGGTATTTATTATAAACGCAAATTGGGGGGCAGCATGATGGCCGACTGGGTAAAGTGCTTGTATTCCAAACCTGACCTGAGTTTGATTCTCAGGATCCACATCTCGTGGAAGGAGAGGCCTGCCCTTTGGGCTTCACATGCACATCTTCGCGAACGAGCATATATACCACACACTCGTAATAATAAACACTTAAAATGATTTCAGATTATTCCCAAATCTGGGGCGAGGCCAGGACCTGAGACTAAATCCTCAGGGTGGGTGCACTGTGCAGGAGCTACCCTGCCCTGGACGGCTACAGCATGCGGTGTAACCCCACTGAGACTGGTAATCCTGCTCGAAGTCTACGCAGTCGGCCCCTGTAGAGATGACAGCGACTTCAGGGTAGCTTTGCTACTCATTTGGTCGCCTGGGGCAACCACAAGGTCGATTCAAAAGACAAAAAAAAACCCAGTATGATGACTACTAGGGAGTAAACTGGGAATACGTGATTGTTAATTTCTTAGTTCCAAATGTTAAAACATATTATTTTAAAAGAAAAAAAAAAATGAACAATTAAAAAAAAAAAA